CCTGGAACAGACTGCCTGGGGAGGGGGTTCAGTCCCCATCCCTGGATGTGTTCAAGTGTCGCTTAGATGGGGTGTTGGGTGATATGGTTTAGGGGTGACCTTGTAGTGTAGGGTCACTGGTTGGACTCGATGATCCCAAGGGTCTTTCCCAACCTGAATTGTTCTAGGATGATGATTCTATGAAACGGCCACCAGTTGTGCCGAGGGAAGTTTAGGCTGGATATTAGGAAGAATTTCTTGACTGGAGGGGTTATCGGGCATTGAAATGGGTTGCCCAGGGGAGGGGTGGGATCCCTGGAGGGATTTGAGGGTCGTTAAGGATATGGTTTAGCTGAGGGGATTGTTAGCGTTGGGTTAATGGTTGGGCTGCAAACGTGTTTCCTGAGGTTTGGGTCTAAATTTGAAAGTGAGAAAATCAAATTAAACAGCTTGGTTGAGGTACCTGGGTTTAAAAATAAAACTCAGGATGGGCAGAATCGATCCTCCTTTGAGATTAGATTGGATGGAACGAGTGAGAATATCTCCGAGTCCAACCGGATATAATTTAGCGTTCCCAGTGGTGCTCAGGAATGTGCTTTTGTAAAACTCAGACCAGAAAATTCAAAGCACCTTTTTTCGATTTCCTTGAGCCCTTGGTCGGTTTGACTTTGTGGCAGTGAACTTGGCGGCTCACTCCGGTGACTTGTCCTTGTGCTCGCAGGCCAAACACACCCAAGAGGGCAGCCAGACGTGGGGAGTGAACGGCGAGACCGGCGCCCTGGTTGACATGAAGGAGCTGGGCATCTGGGAGCCCTTGGCGGTCAAACTGCAGACCTACAAAACAGCTGTGGAGGTAAGGAGGGAGCTGGGGAGGAATCTGAAATCCCCTCTAAGCACATCCCTCACGAGAGGGAAATGTTGCCACTTGGGTGGGTCTTTTCCAATCCAGGTGATTCTGTGCCGGGGTTTTGGCTCGTGGGAGTGTGCGAAGGGACGCGGCACCTGTGGGAGCCTGTACTCAGGCTTTCGGAGGGATTGGGTTTATTTTTTGTGATCCTGTGGATAAAATTTGTCACGTTCCATCCCACCTTTAGCTGGTTAGTCTTGCAAGGAGAGGCCTTGTGGAAAAAAACCCGTTTTAAGCATTTGCTTTGCTGGTGTTAGATCCAGAGTTCCTTTCTTATCAGCAAACTAGAAATAAAGGGGTGTCCCTTCATGGGGTGCCCTGCCAGGTGCCAGAGCCCCCAGCTGCCCCCCCTGCCTGCCCTGGGCACCGGCTCCTTCCCGTGGTGCTGAGGGCGTCGGTTCATCGGAGGCAGATGGGGCTTGGGTGTGAGAGCGGGGTCGCTCGGGTTTGGGATGAGAGGGGTCCCTCGGATTTGGGATGAGCGGGGTCGCTCGGGTTTGGG